TGCAGGTTTGCCTTTTCCCATAGAAAAAGAGCAGTATTTTGGATTTTTCTCAGGATTGGTTTGGGCTATGGAAAATCGAAGGTGACCATTAGATAGAGCTCGTTGAGTTCTACTTGGAACCGGGTTGGAACACTTGGAACACATTCCTGGACGAATATGGGAAGGTTTTACTCGAATATGGCGCTAACTTCACCTACGTATAAACTTGCTAGAAAATATATGGAAATCGCCCTACATGCATATCGAACGATCCATGGCGAAGATCATTCAGAAACAGCATTAATGAATCTCAATCTTGGTGCTCTTACTACAGAAACTAAAGAATATGACCAAGCAGAAGTTTATTGTAAACAAGCATTAAAATCTTTCGAAAAAATTTTTCATGCTGATCATCGTTATATTGCATTAGCTTATTGTAATATTGGAGTTATTTATTGTTGTTTAAAACAGTACGACTTATCATTACATTATTATCAGAAACAACTTGAAATTCAGCAACGTACGATTCCGGCAGATAGTTTTGAATTCGGTATAGCGTATCTCAATATGGGTGAAGTATACGAAGAACGTGGCGAATATGATCAAGCGTTATCTTATTATGGAAAAGCAAGTGAAAATTTTCGCAATGCAGCATTATTACCCGAGAACGGTGCAATGATAGAACTGAACCAACACATAAAATCAACAAATGAAAAAAAGAATCTACTCTTTGCTACATCAATTTTCAGGAAACGTTTTCTGCGCACTGTTGCTAAAACAATAATTTTAACATTATGTGTGCTGATTATTATATACTGGAGCTTTCTAAATTATAATAAATAAACTAAAACCAGACAAATGATTGGAACATTGAAACTATTTGTAAACTGTTTTAGGTGTCCTATAAAAATAATGATACATGCAGTACTATCACTGCGTACTCTCCATAGAGGATTTTTTCAAAGAATACATGCGAGTATGATGACTGATGGTCACCCAATTCATTTTGTCTCATTTTATTTTTGATAGACAATAAAATATTCTGTATCTAAAATAATATCTCCATTAACACATACTAAGCTTGCGAATGGTTCATTAACAAAAAAACTTAGTTTATTATGAATCTCTTTCTCACATGTGAGAAACGATGAGAACAAGAGTGATTTCTAATATTGTAAGGTGCCTATAATTCGATTCTCGAGCAGAATTTTTGTTGTTGTCATTGGATAAAGTATATTGAATTGCATAGGAAAAATGTACAGGGTAATCCAAAAATGTTGGTATTTGTTAGAAAAATTTCTTTTTCTCCTTCATTACAAATCCGAAAAAGCTATGATATAGAGCTCGTCCTATAGAGAAGATTGTCTTTTGCATGATCCAAAAATTTTAAAAAAACTATTGGGGATTTGTATGAAGGCATGAAAAGAAAAGTGAAAAGGAAAGCACCAAAATGAAAAAACATTAGATGAGTAATGTTGAATCAAATTATACTGAAAGGTTAGCTCGATGTCGGCAGTATATTTGATGAAAGGTCTTCATCTCTAATTAGCTGTATTTGAAAGTATGGTCATTGTTGATCATTCGTTTTTGATTTCGATGAAACTTAATGTAAAAGAAAACAATCAGTCAGCAATTGTATTTAAACTGTTTGAATTTAATATTAAAAATGATTATAATATTTAATTCCTAGAGAAAGTCATTCAACCAACAAAAAAGAGACTATAATAACATGAAAATATAAATCATGACATTGTTTTACATTGTATTAACGGTAAAAAATAATTATTCTAGATGTTTTTTTATGAACGAAAAAGTTGTATTGGATCATGCGAAAAAAATCTTCTCCATAGTACGAGCTCTATGTCATAGATTTTTCGGATTTGTAATGAAGGAGAAAAAGAAATTTTTCTAAGAAGTACCAAAACTTTTGGACCATCCTATATTTCCAGTTTTTCAAAAATTTCTTTCATGAAAAAAATTGTAAATAACTTTATATATCAGATTGAGAAGAAATAAACCCAAATACTGATGGATGTAGAAGGAGAGAATATGCAAACTGACATTCAGACTCACACTCACAAACTTAAATTTACTCTAAATATGCCATTCATTTCAGGATTTGAATGAAAAATACTCCACATCTCTGTCTAGTTACCGTTTTTCTCACAGCATCGTGTTTAATCAGAAAAACTGAAATAACTTTTACCCAGTTCAACTTATAAACGAAATTTTCTTTTGATTTTAAAGGTCTAAATGATGATAAACCATTGTCCTACTAGATATTTTGTTGTTGATTTTTTGTGTACTTTAACATTTTGTACCAGAATGAATATCATAGATGGATGGAAACGAATTTTAAAATCCTTTCCGATGAAAAACTGTGTACATATATCAAATTTAATTTGAAATCTCCCGTAGCTCTGTACCTCTTGTATTGACAAGTTTATAACGATTATTCTAAAGGGTCATAAACAGACTATCAATAAACCGAAAGTTCGCCCTGGTTTGACATCTCGGAATGAGGTTTTTACCAGAAGTGTCTCTCACTGGAAAAACTCATTTCTGACAATATCAGGCCAAAGAGATCATTCTAAATAGAAAGTCTATAGTGAAGAGCAGAGCTTTTAAGCTGCAACATTCTGAATGTCATTTTATTTTTACGAAACTTTCGAAATATCGGCAATAATCTTCATGGTGACATCTGCCAAAATATGAAAATCCATGGGTGTCGGTGTGTTTGGATGCAATCTGATATATTTACTCACTCACTCACCCACCCACACTTCACATCCAGATCCCACACTCACACCGTACAAAATTTTGCGTTATTGTCAAATAAAATCTCTACTGATTCGAACAAATTTTAATCATTGAAATGATAAAATCTGAAAATTTCTTTTCTTGTCGAATTAAATCTGCTATTTTCATGAAAATTGTAATCATTTCAGTAATTCAGTATAAAAGATCATGTTGACGATAGCTATATACACTTCTCTTTGGGTCATATTCCAAACATGCGAATAAATAGAGCGTTGGGAAGGTGTATACGTGGGCGTGAATGTGAGTGTGTCTTGTTTCTATAGATGAAAGAAGACACTCACTCTTACTCACGTTTCCTTTATGCTCTTATCTTCTAAGATATTAGTATTCAATTTCTTTTAATATCGCATTCTGTTTTGAAATGAGTCATAATTAGTCAACACTTGCTAGCTTACAAAGTTTGTTATTGAACAATAAATAGCAGAATATCGAGTCAGTATTACAGAAAATGCTCAAATTTATTATTGTGAAATAAATCAATATTGAATTATGCGAAGCTTACATTTTTGTATTTATCTCGTAGATCTTTTATTTCGTTGTTGATATTATTCAACCGTTGGTTGATATCGTTCAAATGACTTCGACCTCCAGTACGGAGTTCCTGAAGAGCTCCTTGAATACGACGGAAATTCTCGGTAAATTTATTGATTGCCTGCAATGGTTGATGCCCATCACCAAAGAACTCGTATTTTTTTACGATCGGCAGCATATCTCTATTCAGGCGTATCAAGTCTTGATAATCATTACAGCTGTAACTAATTTTGTCATTGAACACATCCTCAATATTAATAAGCTCAATGACGTCTCGCCATTCCGAAACAACAGTTTCTGCTTGACTCATTCTTATACGTTCGTTTATTACATAACTTCCATCATCTTGACGCGTAAAAACATAAGTCACAAGACTAATTTCACCAGTCATCTCATTAATTTGCTGAATCAACTCATCATTTGTTTTAGCTATGGCTTCTGTTAATTTAATTAAATTCGTAACTGATTCATCCGATATACTCTGCTTCTAAACAAATATAAAATAAACATTTCACTTTTTCGTGTAAGATAGACGATTGAATTCTTCAATATTAGGAATAGATTGACTTTCTCTTTTGATTGCTGTAAATTTTTAACTCAATACAAAACCAGATTAGATTAGCTTCATATTGCAACGAATCGAAAGCACCAATGACTACATATTACGTTAATATTTTTGAAAAATATTATTATTTCTAATTGTGGAGTTGCTCTTTTGAGTATTTTAAACTACCTAAACCATGTTCGATGGAACCATATAACTGGTAAGAAACAATTCATCGCCTCTAAAAGTTCAGTTTTCGGAATCTATCCAAGAGTAATATGAAACTTTTGATAGTATTGGAAAATATGTCAATACATTCGTCGTTAGTTGGATATAATAGCAGACAGAATCTTCGTTCATTTAGAATGCAGCCCCAAACTCTGATTTTTACAAAATGTTTCGCCTATGCTCTTTTGAATTCAAAAGTGTTCCAGGACCGTTTAAAGATTTTTGAACAAGCACTCGGAGAGTTAGAGACTCTGCAAACAACATAACTTTTAATATAGCAGAAGGTCATCGGTCTACTTAATTATCAACCTCACGACAAAATGTAGTCGTAAGCATGACTCTTGTCATTGAAACGAGTGAGATGCAAATGGGGTCGCTGACTGATACTCATCATAAACTGTCTGTATTGAATATCTATGACTGCTAACCCTAATGACAGGCTTTTATCCAGCATTGTACACACCTCTTGAGAATCGTATTGCCCAACCTTATTATTCGTCGTACTGATTGCTGTTGGTTCATCAATAAAAACACATTGTAGTTTGAAGTCTTTTATATCTTTGAGTTTTGATGCATCTTGTTTCCACTATGAATCATTTCAAAGATAAAAATTTAGTTATAAGAAGAAAAGCGCTCACAAAATTTTCAATATCATCTGTATAATCGCTGGGAACAATCGTCCATCTTACCAAAAACTTATGACTGCTTCCATTATCCGCTTTTTGACCATATAGTATTGGTTGTAGCATAACTACAAAGATATATATATGATAGTCATAGAAAGACTTCATAGAATAAAATATTCTGTCATACCTTCTGCGCTTGTAGTTGCATATGGCTGGATAAAATTGCGATTCGGTTTCACACAATAACGTTTAGGTGCTGTTGTCTTGATCACAAACGCAATGCGTTTATCACTAGTATTGGTTAATTGAAATCTTGCTTTTGATACTATATTGAAAGGACCTAATGAGAAGCCAAGGAGAAGCATAATTTACCGTTCATCTTTCATAATCAATGAGTAATATAACTGGCATACCTTCAAAAACTAGGTTTTCCGTGGGTATAAGTTCAAGTGTCATGATTTTCAAACCGATTCTATTAAAAATAACAGACAATGTGAGGAAAAGTCATTCGTTTCGAGTGAAAGTATGCATTTTTAACACGTTTAGGACTATATCTCAGCAGACAGCGTCTTGAAAAGCACACATTTTGTCACATAAAAAAACACTTTCTCACTTTTAGTTCAATAATAAAGAAGCTTTCAGTGTAATTCCTATGAAATTAATATGCGAGACACGCTGGATAGGTTTCACTTGTTCAGTAGAATCTTTGCCAAATGCATCATTGTGACGTTTGGAAGCTTTTTCAATTCTATCTGCCATGGTCTGGGACGCCAGAAAACCTTATCCATTCTGTCTGTCGATCTCGCTCTCTCACGGTTAGAGCTCTGTACGGGAATCGGTTCAGAATCAACTAATTCTTTTTGTTGAAAAGTCAGTTTTCATATATGAACTTGTTTGAATAGTAGATTTTGTTTTCTGATATTTACTTTACAAATTAATACACTCCGAAGCTTCTAAAAATGCCCTACAGAGACATTCGACCATGAAACAAAGTCGGACTCAAATTCAACTCCGATTTTCTTTCATGCTCGTGTACCTTCATTAGAGGTCGTTAGGACCTTCTAAATGCATCAGTTTGCATTACAAATATAACA